AGGTCCGAGCCAGAGAAACTAGTGCATGCACATGGTGGTGTGTGTGTGTGTGTGTGTGTGTGTGTGTGTGTGTGTAATGGGAGACAACTTCTACATGTGGCAATTCCTCATGCACAGACACATGGACAAGTCTGTTTCCAATTCTCAGGATTCTCATCTCACAATATTGGATGTTTTCTTAAAGTCCCATTTCCTGGAGTCATGTAATCACACGTTAGCTTTCATTTAAAAAGTGAGTTTCTAACCCTGATGATTGTAAAGAAAAGCTTGAAAAATGTGACCTCAGAGAAAAAACATTGACAGTAAATAAAAAGAGCCCTATATGTATTTTTTAAAAATCTCATGATTTTAAAGCCATTCTCATGATTCTCGGGGGCCCTGACTCATGATTTTTGAGCAATTGGGACAGCAACACTGCAAAATCTCACACGTGCGATTCCCTATTGCTAGTGGGACACTGTGCAATCACAAACTGGAGCATGATTTGGAGGGGCGAGGGTTTACTAGATGATCTCTCTACTAAGAGGTGGCCCATCCTATGAAAATGTTTGGCAACTCTGGCTTTAGGGAATTGCTGGGACTGATTCTAGTTCTTCTCTAGCAACTGTGCTTTAATATTAACTAGCACGTAAATACACATGGCTTCAGCACTCCAGGCACTTCTGCATATTTTTGCCCTGTAACAGGGTGGCTTGCCCCGTTAAGGGCTAGAGGCTTGGGGCCAGCCAACCTTTCTTACTAAGATGGCACACCTGAGCAGGGATCAGATGATTCCCCAATAAAAGCAGCGGGAAGCTGCAGACAGAGGGGGGAATGTTCAGAGGAAGCTGTGGCAAAGACTGCAGAAGAGCTTGAGTGAGCAGGCTGAAGGCCAGGGACAGCGGATTCCATGGAAGTAGAAAAAGTATCCAGCCACATAGGGCTGAGAATGGCCTGTCAAGGCTGGGAAGAGCTCCAGAGAGCAAACCCAGGGAAATTAAGAAGCCCCAGGACAGAGTTTTGGAATTGTGTCTTATGCCAATAAATTGGACCCTGGTAGGAAGGGCATTATTGAACAAAAAAGCTTGTGTGGAATTTTTTAAAGAAGCTCTTTGAAGGGGGAAACTGAAGTAGGGCGCTGCAGAGCCATCTCTGGCCACGAGGGGGTGCTCTGGAGGAGGTTGTGTGATGATACGTCCTTTATCTTTACAAATACAAAGTACAAAGATCTCAGAGGGACTCTGTCAGATCAAGTCCAGCCTCAAATTTAGGTTTTGTAGAAACAAACATTTACAAAACCTAATGGTCAAAAGATTTTGTGATTTTTCTTTAATTCCAATGAAAACATATTGGTTTAAACACTTCATTGCAGCTTTTGCAAGCCAAGCCAAGCCAAGCATTCTGTGGAGTTATTAGGAGCACAGATATGGAAGTAAAGTTTGTTTTTAAAAATATAAAGGATATCACTTTGCGGTGTCCCTCTAAGTGTGGAATTTATATCTTCAGAAAGAAAACTCTCTCTTTCACTGATCTGACACACGCTCCATGTTTAATTCTGGGGCTTCATTCCTGACAATAGTGGCTAAGCAGGAGCAGGTGCAGATGTCTCATCACTTGTACCTCATCACTTGTACCTGCCAAATTTGCTCTCTAACCAATATTGTCACATAAGCTCCAAAGCGAACAGCAAAAAGCCCAACTCCTTCCAATTTCTGAGGAGTTCTGAGGGCTTCAAAACTGATACTTTATCATTTTCTATGCGGATGAATGCCCTCATGAGTACAAGCAGGGAGCAACACACTGACCTTGACCTGTAGGACAAACTCTAAAGAATTAATGCCATCTGTGGCTGCAAAGAGGATGTCATCATGCAGAGTCTCAGAGCCATCATGCTGATACCTGTGGGAATTAAGTTCTGCACTAATTTCACATGGACAACGTGTCTCTGCATCAAGAAGAACAGCAAGCACTGCAGGACAATACTACCCAACTACCCACCACAACAGGGCCACCCAGAGGATTCAGGAGGCCTGGGGCAAAGCAATTTCAGGGGCCCCTTCCATAAAAAAAAAGTTGCAATACTATAGAATACTATATTCTCGTGGGGGCCCCTGCGGGACTCGGGGCAAATTGCCCCACTTACCCCTCCCCCCCTCTGGGCGGCCCTGCACCACAATACAACATGGTTTCCTGACTCAGTTTTACGGCCTGCTCAGATGTGGCTGCTCATTCATCATGTGGTGATGCTATAATATTATTTTTAATGCAAACTTAAGAATCTGCAGAGAACATTATAGGCCAGAGGCTCAGCTGGTGTACGTTTGTTGAGCTCCATTGGGGTCAGACTTTGCCAACTCACACAAACTGAGGCTCTTGGAATTTAACACCAGTTTGATGGTGAGAACTAATAGTAACAAAACTAAAAGCAGGACCTTTTCTCACCTGACTTTTAACATGTGCAAGTCCTGGCAGGTGAACCTGTCACCTTTGTTCATGGGAAATCCATCCAGTTCTACCATTCCATGCAGCGGCAGCCTCTGAAGGTAGATGTGGAGGTTCTCCTGTTTTGTGTCCACATCTGACATCAGAATATGGCTCCCTGTAATGGTGCACAGTCCCCCTTCTTCCACTTTCAAGTTATTTGTAAATACCTGAACAGAGGGGGAGAGATGAATTACCATTTCCCTCTGCACCTTTAAATTTGAACTAGAAAGAGCATTTGGGTTTAAAAGATGCAACACAATAAATATCAAAACACCAAAGTCATAACTCATCTGTCATATGCTGGGAGGACGTAAGGAACTTACCACAACACATAGAGCAAATATTGCCCCCAGCCACCAATCAATAACAGATGGATCATTACAGCAGTATTCTATCTGTCTAGTAAAACCATATTAATATTCAGAGATTCACTTCCTCCCTCCCTCCCACACACACACAGATGTACCTCTGGAGCTTGATTGTCCACTGGAAGAACTGTAATATTAAAGCAAATCCTATACAAAGTGCCTCCATGCTGATTGCTGACTGAAAAAATAAACTGGACATGCTGAGGTTCAGGCCCAATGTCCTGGATAGGGGGCATATAGGCAACTTTCATGTAGTTCACAGCATGCTGCAAAATGTGAGGAAAAAAGAAAGAAAGAAAGAAAGAAAAAAGGGAAACTGTCATTTAAAATCTGAAGGTACGTTTTCAGAAAGATGACCTTTGCTTTGGATATGATCTGTGCCCACAAAATTCCCATCTGAATGTTTGCACCCACATTTCAACTACTGGCACAAATCTGAGTATCTGCACCTCTAACTATGAATTAGCTAGATAGAAATGCAAAGACCCAGATTTGTGGAGGTACAATTTACAACTGGAAACAGAAGATGGGGGCCTCAGCCTGGATGAGGTATGCCATCCCCAAAACCTTTTTTATATAATGACTTTTAAATAATCACAGTTATCAAAGCGTAGCTTTTAATACTACATTCACTACAGTATCTGTACATCTCTGAATTCCAGAGATCTCTTAATTTGTCATTAGCAATATTTATTATTTGCACATCCTTTGTTTACCCAAATCACAACAAGATACTAAAGTAGACTAAAACTATCAGCAAAGTCTCTCGTCCAGAAACTGATCTTATGCACCTGACTGAGTGGTTCAGGACTCCAATTAAAAGGCTATAAGGAAAACTGCTTTGCAACATTAACCATACAGTAAATTGTAATGGCCAGGCAGTTTACAAATGTTAATAAGAATGGGATTTATTGAACTACAGCATAATAAAAAACTGCAACATGGATGATAATTGTGGCTGAGACCAAGCTGGGAGGGGTTGCAAGTGCTTTGGAGGATTGGATTATAATTCAAAATGATCTGGACAAACTGGAGAAATGGTCTGAAGTAAATAGGATGAAATTCAATAAGGACAAATGCAAAGTACTCCACTTAGGAAGGAACAATCAGTTTCACACATACAAAACTAGAAATGACTGCCTTGGAAGGAGTACTGCAGAAAGAAATCTGGGGGTCATAGTGGACCACAAGCTAAATATGAGTCAACAGTGTAACACTGTTGCAAAAAAAAGCAAACATCATTCTGGGATATATTAGCAGGAGTGTTGTAAGCAAAGCACGAGAAATAACTCTTCCTCTCCTCTCCGCGCTGATTAGGCCTCAATTGGAGTATTGTGTCCAGTTCTGGGCACCACTTTTCAGGAAAGATTGGACTTTCTCCAATTTGTCCACGAGAAGAGCAACAAAAATTATTAAAGGTCTAGAAAACATGACCTGTGAGGGAAGATTTTAAAAATTGGGTATTTTTAGTCTGGAAAAGAGAAGATTGAGGGGGGACATGATAACAGTTTTCAAGTACATAAAAGGTTGTTAAGAGGAGGAGGGAGAAAAATTATTCTTCTTAACCTCTAAGGATGGGACAAGAAGCAATGGGCTTAAATTGCAGCAAGGGAGGTTTAGGTTGGACATTAGGAAAAACTTCCTAACTGTCATGGTGGTTAAGCACTGGAATAAATTGCTTAAGGAGGTTATGGAATCTCCATCATTGGAGATTTTTAAGAGCAGGTTAGACAAACACCTGTCACAGATGGTCTAGATAATACTTAGTCCTGCCATGAGTTCAGGGGACTGGACTAGATGACCTCTTGAGGTCCCTTCCAGTCCTATGATTCTATTAAATTATTTAAAATTAAAACAAAAATGTGGATGCACAGAACTACTCCAACGAAGTTCAGCCAATGTGAAAGAATCTTAGCGGCGATAAGAAATCAGACTGATGGGGCTTTGCAAAACCCAAACCATGTCCAGGTTGAACCCATCTCTTACCCTGACATTATGCCCAACTCAGGTCAAATACTTAGAGCTGAATTTGTCTCCAACACGAGCAAGTGCAACTCCTTTTGGTCTCAATAGGAGCTATGTCTACTTATGCGAGGAATGCAATCATGGTAGACACTTCTTTAAAAATATGAATGGAGTTAGCTGAATTTTGAGTTTGTTAAACTGAGATAGTGATAGTACTGGCTAGGGTTGGTTTCCACTTCTAAGCCTCATGAAAACCTGAAAGGAAGTGACTTGAGGAAAAATGACAGCACCACTGGAGCCAGTTCTTAAAAAGGGTATGGTTCCAGTATGGTATCACTTAGTAACAAACCTGAGTGAATGATCTCAGTGCTGGAACAGAAGGATCCTTGACTAGCTTGGGGATGCTGTCCACCATAAACAACTTCCCAGCATCGGAGGGGCTGTACAAAGACACACACACACTATGCGCTGATTAGAAAAACTTCTAATACAGGAGAAAAAAAATCTTACAATTCAATCTTGTGCTTCAACACTACCAACCAACCACTAGCTGCATAGAAATAAAATTTATTTACTTTTCTTTTTTCATTATCATAAATGTCTTTATTATGGATTTCAAACTGTGACAGAAAACTGAACAAAGGAATCATGAGCCATGAACCGGCCACCAAAAAGTAACAACTACTTTACTATGAACAAAGTCCTGGACTTCCACACCAAAGTGTCCCCACACATTTCAGGCACTTTGATGATTTACACTGGCTGAGAATCTGGCCCTTCACATACCTATCACTTGATATTTTCATTTTTCTTTAGATAAAAGAAATTCTATATTACATCAAATTCTTTAAATTTTTCATTAATCTTATAAATAAGAGGCTCGTGTGAACCAATTTCTAACAACTCAACTTTCTAAGCTTTTAAAAGTGAGACACAATAACTTTTCCACCTCCTAAGGACCAATCTTTTGGCAAAACAAAAGGCAAAGGCAACCCATTTATTTTTTCAAAATAACTTGTCCCGTGTATTGAAGACAAATCACACAGCAAAAATAATTGATAACATTGAAAACATTGAAACAGAATTTTCTAATACTGGGACTTTGCCAAACAAAGTGCATCAAAATTACAAATCTCTTATTTTAATTTTTATATACACACAAAAAGCCCCTCCAAAGAGACCATTTATTTGCTTTGGGAGCTTCAGCATGATCCCTACAGGCTATTCTGTTTAACCTCGTGCAAACAATTTCCGCCATTTTCTTTGCAAAGCCTTTAAAAATACTTGATCCACTCCAAAGCTACAGTTTTATTAAGATGACCTAAGCTCTTCACATTCTTATAGTTATTAGAAAGATCTTATTCACACCTTACGGAATAGTCTGGACCCACTTTTTTCAGTCTTGAGTATATCAACTTCATATCATACACACATATTAAAAGGCCCATCTCCCTCCTGTTATCCTCAACACCTGGCTTCTGAGCTCTCTCCTGCCCACTATAGGCTTCAGCTGCAGTTCTTCTGATTAGCCCACAGGCTTGTTCAAGGCTATTAACCATGTACCCACCTGACAGATAACCATACCACTGAGTTACAGATTGACTCTTTGCTGGTCTGGCCCAAAACAGAAAAGTGTTGATCCCCTGAGCTACACAGTGGTAGTAAGCAAAACTCTTTCCTCTTGGTAAATTGGAGAGGGTACTGGTGCTGAACTCACCAAATGGGCCACCAATCATCCAATAGGCCACAGTGAAATACAAGGTGAAGTCAAACAAAAGGAAAAAACATCTGGGTCTGTCTGTTCTCTGCCTCTCTCTTTTAACCACTTGATGTTGCCCCTCACGTCCTGTTGCTTTAGGCTTTGACCCACATGATTATTAACACACTACATCCTGGTCCTGCAACTAGATCCACATAGGTAGGCCCATGCATGCAGGATTGGGAACCTAGTGTGTGCACCCAGGCAACAGCCTTACTTTGCCACCAACACTTCCCCTGCCACTTGGTGCCTACCCATCTCCTGTGATGAGGAGTGTACATTCACTCTCACATACCCATGAGTAAAAGAGAAAAATGGGGAGGTGGTTACTGTGTAGATGAGCTCTCTCTCTTGTGCTTCCATGTCTATGAAATGGAGATGTTTCTTAGTTAGATGAGCTATCTTAGTTTCCTCAACAGCGAGGTGACGGGTAACCCCAGAAGCTTCTTTTGGAAGCTGATCATCCACAGGAATAATATGCACGATCACCAGCTAGAGTAAAGAATACAGAAAAATATCATAGGGTTGGAAGAATGTTGGAAACACACTAAATGCTCTTAGAATCATGCTTATAGGAAACCACCAGAGTTAATTTAGTTCATATTTAAAATATTTGAACAAATCTTTTAAAATGGAAGCACATTTTTTCATTTAATTTTTCCTCCATCATCCATACAATTGTAATATTGGTTATTCTTCCTTATTATTTGTTTGAGGACCTGGTTAAAACTCTGAATCTCTGTTTCGTGGGAAAGTTTGACATTTCAAAAGTTCTTTTCATTCTCATTTGGAACTAAAACAAATATTTTTTAAATTTCCTGCAAACCAGAAACAGAAGACAAGATATTTCAACCAGTAGTAAGTAGCAGCTGCCCTTAATGATTTTATATATTCTGTTATTTTTATTTTACTTTTAAACTATTACATTGTCATGAAATAATGTAAAAATAATTAAAATAATATAGAAATAAAAAACTTTTAAAAAAATCCTAACATTTTAAAATTCTGAAATGAAATTTGGAAATCGGAAATGGAATTCCAAAATGATTTTTTTGTTTTGAAACAAATAACTTCTCTGCAAGAATTCAAAATGGTCATATTTTTCAAAATGTTTCAATTTAGATAAAAGCAACATTTTCCATCAAAAGCACATTTTGAGAAAAAATTCTGACCAGCTCTACTTACAGTTTCACGGTTTTGTTACTGTAGGGTTGTGCAAAAGCACAGGTGGTCAAATATTACTTAAGGACAGGAGGGCACTGTACCTATTTTTTGAAACATCCACACAGAAAAATAACTGATGGACTAATGTATAATATATAACAGAAATATACAGGAGGGCACATTTTAAATTCACAAATCTTGGCAGTGTGCCTCTGAAGTCAAGGAAATATTAAATTCAGTCAGCTCAATCCTCAGGTGGTATAAATAGGTGCAAATCTATTGACTTCGAAGTGGCTACTGCCAGTTAGTACTAGCTGAGGATCTAGCCCTTAGAATGAATTTGGCCTTTCATTTTAACACCTGATACAATCTCCATTAATGCCTTTGAGATCTGACAATATTCTCCTGTCAGACAAAAATTAAAGAAAATAGGGTTGCTGAGTTATAAACGAGGGGAGAATTTGGTCTGGAGAATTTGGCAATAATGTGCACACAGAAAAGGACGCAGCTTGGTTTTCACATCCTAGGCTGTGCTTTTAGGACTGGCAGTTAGAAAGAGGGAAAAATCACAAGGTTTTCAACAATCCAATGTAGGAAGGTATGCTGGTGTCCAGACATTTACTCCACACTCTGCAGCGGCGACTCCAGGCACCAGCGCTCCAAGCGCGTGCCTTGGGCAGCAAGCCGTGGGGGGGCGCCCTGCCGGTCCCTGCGAGGGCAGCAGTCAGGCAGCCTTCAGCAGCATGCCTGCGGGAGGTCTGCCGGTCCCACGGATTCGGCGGCAATTCAGTGGCGGGTATGCCGAAGCCGCAGGACCAGCGGCCCTTCCACAGGCAAGCCACCGAAAGCTGCCTGACTGCCGTGCTTGGGGCGGCAAGAAAGCTAGAGCCACCCCTGACACATTGCAAGAAATCCTCAAACATAATACCTGTGGCTCTGAGAGATTGGGAGGGTCATGGCTATCACACAGGACAAACTCAAGGGAATCCTCAAATATTTCTCCTCCTAAGTGACGGTAGTAAATTAGTCCATTAAACAGATCTCTCTGAAGGAAGCCAGTGACAGGATACCCTGTTGAATCAAAGAATAAAAGAAAGCACATTTCATAGAACTGTTTATAATTTTAATCACTGGTAAATTTGATCATCTTGATCCTCATAAAGAAGAAGAGACCTGTTATATAGTTTCTCTTCTTTCTCCAGTGCATCCACTGAAAGAGATTAAAAACTCCATCTTTATATCAGAAACTGTGATAAAACTTCATAATTGTTCAATATGAAGTAAGAGCATTCCCAGTGATGGCTCTGAAGCCCAGTGATGAGGAAAAAAGGTGAATTTATACAAATAAAAACTATCTAACAAATCTAGCAAAGGGATTCTGTGTCCAGGTATGGAATAAAAGAACCCCCATCCCCCACTCTCAATTTAGCACCATCAGTGCCATCCTCTAATTTTCAGCTTGGTAGGAATCATTGCAGCAAGGAAGTCTCTTGACCACCCAAATTCCTCTAGCCAAGAAAGTACAACAGAAAAATATTCTTCGATTGAGATGACTCTGGGTTAAATTCTGCTCTCGGTTACACCAAAGTAAATCCAGAATAACTCCATTCAACTCAAAGGATTTACACCAAGGTAACCACGAGCACAGTTTGGCCCCCGCAAAAGAACGTTCATCTTACTGTGGTTTTCTTAGATTACCTATAAGGTTCGGCCCTGGTTTCTTCATGATTTCTCCAGCCTGTGGTGGTTTGGTAACATTAAAGAGTATGTAGTCATCACTGGAGTCCATGTCAGACGCTTGAAGCATGGAGCCCTGGATCAGAACGGTCTGCCCTTCATACAGTTCAATTACAACATTGCTGATCAGGAAAGGGGGGCTGTCATCTTTAGGCAGGATATTGATTGGAAACTTATGGCGAATACTGTGGTGGCCATCAAAGATCCTAAATACCACAAAATCTTTTGTAGAGTCACTGTCATCATGGTGGTAGCGAACAACCCCAGCCCTCAGGTCAGAGACCGTGAACATGAATCCTTTCCCTCCTGTCAAAAGAATGAAAGAAGACAGTTCAAAGATGTGTAATTCAGCCTCAGTATGAATTTTATTAAGGGGGGAAATACATGTCTGAGTTAGAAAAACTCATTCAAAACAGAAAGTATTAACATGGTCCAGCATAGTTACTAAGCTATGTACTTTGCTAACGGTTACACAACTGTGGTAGCAAACACAACTCCCCAGAATATCAATGCTGTCATATAGATCATTTGAAGACATCAGTGTTTGCTATCTACCACTGTTTCTTAAAGCATCAGTCACAATTTATTTTAAGCCCAAAGAGTATATGCTTTCTGATTACAGATCAATATTTCATTGTAAGCAAGAAGTAACATCCATTATTAATTATTATTATTTATTTGTACCTAGAGGTCCCAGACAGGGATAGAACTTCCATTGTACTCAGCACTATATGCTCACACACAACTGTTCATTTAGGTAAAATGCCTTGAGGGTCAAATTCTGACTCTAGAGCAGGGGATTTCTTCAGGGGCACAGGGGCGGAATACTCTCCCACTTCAAGGCTACGGCGCACCAGCACAGCCATCCCCAGCTGCAATAGTATTTCCAGACCCTGAAATTCCCTACTGGAGGAGGGTTTCTACGATAGTTGTCGATCGAATGGTTACACACACACAATGCCCCACAAAAAACTCCTTGTGTGGTGGCACAGAGAGAGCTACATACAACACTGCTTTACTGCACAACAGGAGCAAAGTTCCTCTGTGGAGCCTCTCTCTCAACAGTTATCCCAGCTGCCATGCCATAGGACCATACCAGTTCCCAGGCTTCAGAAGCCTTCTTTGGTCCATAAACAGGCCCTACGATTTGGCACTTAGTATTGCCAAATAATACAAAATGGCATACTAAATAGTTGGTAGAAATGTTGAGCCTAATTCAATGCCCACTGAGGTTAACAGGAGTCTTTCCATTGATTTCAGTGGGCATTGCCTTTATTAGTAATCTCTATCAAACTAGTTATGCTTAACTGGAATGCTAAACTCTAGGTTTGGATATCTAATCGACTTGTACAAGACAACAAAAAAAAGATATATTGTTGAAAAGTTTATTGAGGGCAAGATTGTGGATTGCCCTGTGTGCCCATGGAATGGAGTTACTAGCATTGCTGGGAGAGCAACTTTTGTGAGCCAGATACATCTGGCTGCACAGGTGTGTGGGGAGTGGGAGGGAAAGGACTGGAGTATGGGAAGAGCATTGACCCTACCTCCCAACATGCCAGCTGGTGCATCTCCGGTATACAGGGAGATGTAATCTGCTCCGGGTAAAGGGCTGAATCAGAACAGCTCCCCCCAAAGGAGGAGGGAACCATGGACCAGATTGTGATTCTGAGTCCCAATTCTCTGTTTAACTGCTGGGGCAGTACAACTGACTTGCCTTACTCATGGCTAATGGTAAATCCACAGCCCAGCCCTGAATTTATATATTACAGGAAATTGTGTGAAGTAATTATTTGTAAAATGACAACAATACACAACTACACATATGATGGAAGACTCCAGACAGCATCTTGTTGGAAAACAGGACATATATCCTTTCAGATTAGTTTTTTTTATTTTCCTTTTTTAATATTAACTTTATTGTCTTGCACATAAGTGTTTAGATCTCATTTATATTTTTCCATATCTGAAAATTCAATAACATTTTTAAAAGTTGAATGGTTTTTCTTTTATTGCAACCACAGGATGGATTTCTTTTACTTAAACATTTTCGCAAACACAACAGCATTGTGCTAGTGCATAAAAACCAGAAACTAAAACTGACGATCACAATGAAAATGAAACAGGGCAGTCTCATTTCATTGTCAAGCCGAGTAAAATGTAAAAAGTATCATAAATAGCAACGTAGCATAAATAGAGAAAAATCACTTAGATCTTTAAAATTCTTTCAGTTTTATAATCAAAGCTATTAATAAAAGAAGAAAGGATTTTTAAGGGTATGATTTTTATATTGATAATGTTTCTTTTTGCTACAAAGAAACTACATTAACACTCTGGAACCTCGCTCTGATTATACTCATCTATGGAGCTACACTAATGTAAAAATGGTGTTAATGGAATAGAGAATTAAGCCCTACATTTTCAAAGTAATAAAACTATTCCTCTGCACTTACTGATATAAGGGATGCTTAAGAATATTGTAATGGTATGCAATAACATTCACTACATGAAAGATTATCACCCCGAAAAGTCAAGCTTGGACTTGATTTACTGCAATATTGTAAAGGCGCTTAGGTCCAAAATTTGATCTATTTATAAAAACTTCTATAATCTGCTGGAGAATAAGCTCCAGATTCTAAATAATACCTATATTTACTTAGAAGCTTTCCTCAGTTAGCAAGCTCCACTATTCTTTAGCCACATCTTTAACACAGTAGTGGCAAAGGAAAATAATTACATTTGAGCTAGGTCACATTTACTCAAATTGAGTGAATAGTTTATTGAGATATAGTTTATTTCCTTAAATTCACCTCTTTTTAGAGGATTTTTTAAAAAATACCCAGTCTTAATACTTCCCTCTACATTATTATTATTCAACAGCAGTAGAAGTAGCCAGACAGCAGAGGGAGCAAAACTATTAGGTAACAAACAGTAAAGTAACAAAACTGCTCCTAAAATAGTATTAATGTAACTAAAGACATCATCAAGGGTGCTTTTGATAAATAGGGAAGGAATAAATCCATGCAGAGCAGTTCTAGTTTTTGCTCCCTCTGGTCAAATGCTGGTCATCTTAATGTTAACTGAAATCCTGTATAGAACATAGTTTCAAAATATTTTAAATCAGATACTGTTCAGTCATTAAGATCTTTGTGCCTATCAGTTAACCATCTACACACACACACACACACACACACACACACACACACACACACACACACACAGTCAGACAAAGGAAAAATAAACTTAAACAAATGTTTATTTAAAAAAAAAAAAGAGTAAAGATTGGACCTTTCCATCAATCTTTTCCACCTGGGGGCTCAAACCATATGGGATTTGGATCCAAACTAGCAAAACCAAAACCATGGCTAATGTATAGGGAGTTTTGCAAAAATAAAAACACCTCCAGTTTTGCTCTTCTCTACAAACAGCATAGACGAGGAAAAAGACATATTGGATCTTACTGCCCTCCCAGAGATATTGGTTTTACACTGGTGTAACTCCATAGACTTCAGTGGTATTTAGGCATCTAACTCGCAATGATGTCAATGAGAGCCAGGGACCTAACTATCTTTATTGTATTCGATCCACTAAAGGTGGAATGCACAATTTGTTTCCAATCCCTAAAGAGGAAATGGCAATTTACCTCTTACAGTGAGCCGTCCATGCTGTAAGCCATCAATTGTGACCAAGCGAACACCCCTGATGTTGTCATTGTCCACTATTTGAAACTGTTGCCATGTGATTGGTCGGGACTGCCCTTCCAGGAGATCAAGGCCTACAAAGAACAGAGAATAGGTTCAGCAAAGCGTGTGTTTATAACTGGATGAGATTCAAGGCTATCAAGTGTATCTATTGTAGTGCTTTGTGCAAATGGTCAGGAGAAGGAACAAATTAAATTCCATCAACATAATTGCCTTCAAATAGGCATTTCAAAAATAACCTAAAGCCCTACTATCAGCTTTCATTCCAGGCACTTTTACTTTAGTCAATGCCCCTCAGATCTCTATTACAGAGGCATAAAACAGTTTGGTTCCCAGCTATCTAACAGACCAACTTCCTGCCTATATACTTTCCTGACAGTAAATCAGCTAAGGTGTTCCTATTGAGAGCTCATAGACTTGAATGTCCAGGAGATGGGAGGCTGGAGTTAGTGGAATGCCTTTGGTTCTGGTATTCACTTCCTTTGTCAATGCACTAGAGCCCAAAGTTGGTTGACCTTCAAGGCACAGTGCATGGCCCAGCTTGTTACTTAAGCATACATTTCAGGTTGGGTTAGATTTGTGGGCACTTTTCTCTAAGGGAAGGCTGAGGAGTGTTCTTCTCAATATTCCCTTCTATTGTGACAACACTGCTTCTATGGTCATCTTCAGGTGTTAGAGATAGGTTGGCTACTGATGGGGTCTATCTCAGAGATCAAACTCACTGCTTGATTTCAAAGGAATAGCACTGACGTGAAGTTGGTCCATGATGTGTTTTCAGATTATGTTCTTAATAGTAGTATAAATGTACCCATAGGTTTTTGTGACTAATGAATATTTATAAATATTAACATAAAATAATACATTAATATTGTCAAAACAGCAGATAAGGCTAGAAAAGCCACACAACTCTCTGACACCACTTTTAACTCCCTCTCCAACAGAATCCATAGGCCTGATTTAAGACATAGATCGTTCCTCACAACAGCCTCTCAGTAAATAACATCAAAGTATCTCCTAGCCATTATGATCATCTAGTTTGACCTACTGCATAACAAAGATCATAGCATTTTCCCAAGTGATTCCTACAACAAGTCTGTAACTTCTTTAGGATTGACCTCTGAACAGGAGAAGAGCATAGGTTGTGCAGATTAATATACAAGGAACAAAGGGAATTATATGGGAAACAAAATAGGAAGGAATGTATTTTTTTTAAAAGTGGCAGAAAGTAAAATGTAATCACTGTATTTAATTAAGATTCAGAATATCTTGATTTTCTCATACCCCCATTTCCTGCTTCTGTTACTCTACATTTTTATTCTGACATTTGTTCTAGCTTCTATGACTGGGTCACACCAAAATAGAGAAGGAGAAACACACACACACTCTGAACTTTGAGCTGGGCAGACTGTGGATCCAAACCTGAACTTTGTACACCTTTACCTCGATATAACGCTATCCTCGGGAGCCAAAAAATCTTACCGTGTTATAGGTGAAACCACGTTATATCGCACTTGCTTTGATCCGCTGGAGTGCGCAGCCCCGCCCTCCCCGGAGCACTGCTTTACCGCATTATATCCGAATTCGTGTTATATTGGGTCGTGTTATATCGGGGTAGAGGTGTACCTTCAACGCATCTCTGCATCAACATACATTTTGCAGCAGAACTCACTCAGTGAAATTCAATCTCACCTGTATTCCATGAAACCCGAGGAGCATTTGTATCTGTTGTTCTGATGGAGATATGCACAGTGATTGGTGAACTCCTTTCAAAGTAGAAGTCATGAACCTCTAACTCCACCTGTTATATGAAAAGACATACCTTTGTTGAAAAAACAGGTTGAAATATCTTTGTCTATGTGTGACAAAGTATATGCAGCATGCAGATAACTGAAATATTAGGCACTCTAAACTTCAAGGGATTCGGATAATATGACAACCAAAGGAACAAATCTAAAGTAGTTCAGTATGTTATTCGAACCCCTAGTTTTCTGTACCACCTTATAGCTCTGTTTTTCTGTGTTGTGATCTTTACAGGTAATGTAGGGAAAATAAGATTAAATATGGTTATAAATTTATATAAATGAACAGGAAAGATACACATTTTAATTTGCACTAGGGCGGACTATACTCACACAGAGGTTTTGCAACAATAAAAAGCTTTGGGGTACATTTCCTTGCTCAGCTTCTGCTTTTTAAGTCTATCAGATGCAATATGGTAAATAAAAATGTGAGGAAAATTAAGTACAAGTTGTACAAAAAATAAGTTTTTAAAAACAAACACTTCCCAGGGATTCTTGAAGGTGAGCCCATCAGGCAGATTTTTACTTACAGTTTCCTCAGACAGCTGCTATTACTGCTTGAATTCCTGTGAGGGTCCCATGACCCCGTTGAACTAAAATAGACATTCCCTGTCAATCTACTGGGATCAGGTACCACAATATTTTACTGCATAGACCTTGTCACTCTCTTTCCCTGTCTATTTCTTCTTCATCCATTTGCCTTGCCTCTGACTTCCTGTCTCTTCATATATCTCGCCACTGTTAAAATGAGCCCCTTTCCGCATCTCCTGCCACCTGCAACTATGTACCTGGATCTCTCCCTGGACTCTTTCTCTCATCAAACTGCTTTTGAAAATACATAATTTCTCACCTCTTCTGTCTCCTTCCCACAGTGTACTATTATTAAATGCTGTAACAGTTAACACCACAAAATATTTATATCAAGAATAAAATATCAAGGAAGACTTCATACAAAAATAAGTAAAACCCAGTGGCACAGACCTGACAGCTAAACACTGTTATGGGCAATGCTGGAAAAGATGTGCAATTCATTTCTTTAGGATGTAAAATATTTCTGTAATCTTAGTCTCACAACTTGGCGTTTCTGATGTCAATAGATTGAGGGCAGGTCAACATTTAAAAAGCTGCAGCAGCGCAGTTGAACCTCTGTAGCACTTCAGTGAAGACGCTACTACACCGACGAAAGAGCTTCTCCCATGGGCACAGTTAATTGACCGCAGCGAGAGGCGGTAGCTGAGTCAACAGAAGCCCTCCCGTCGACAGAGCACTGTCTACGCTGGGGGTTAGGTCAGTACAACTGGGTTGCTCAGGGGTGTGGATTTTTCACATCGAGCAATGTAGTTATACCGATGTAAATGTGTAGTGTAGACCCGGCCTAAATAAGTAGTGTACAGCAAAAGAACACCTGATTTGTGGTAAACTGATATGTCAGAATTAGTGCTAGACCTCATAATGAAGTACAGCTGGGTAGTATACTCAGCAGACAGTACCATTTAAAATTCAAAAGAAATAATAAAATATACATAGGGCTTGATTCTGAACTCACTCACACCAGCAAGAAACTTGAGTAACTCCAATGAAGTCAGTGGAGTTACCAGATGTAAAATACGTCAATGAGATTGGAATCAAGCCTACTGTCTGTATATTATACAAAGAATTTGCCGCTAGGTTGCAGAGGTGATTTGCAGTAAATAGTGACCTCAGTAGATACAGAGAATGTGACTCTTGTAGCACTAGAGGTAAGAATGTATGAAAATGTGTGAAAGGAAGTCAGTGCTCAACAAATGATGGGCAGGGATGTAGAGAGATAAGATCCCTTAAGTGAAACATTTTGGTCAGGCAAGGTTGAGCTCTCCAGTAGACTGAGGGGACATTTTAGGGGGTCTATGGTAGCTCGCCAGGGTCACAGGATTCTCTTTCATGGGAGTCCCAGCAGTAATAGCAGCAGATTTCAAAGAAAAATGTCATTAAAATACACCTCACATTTTAGTGAGATATGTTTCATATCAATAGAAAGATTCCTTTTGCTCATAGATACCTATTACAAATGAACACATCTATTTACAACTTACTGAATGCTAGAGTGGGGGGAAAAGAAGAGGCTCTGTATGTCCCATTGTTACCTCATAATTCCTCCTCTCTGTATGGCTGTTGTTTGGAGGCTGATATGCGATAAGCATCTCACTGAGATCTTTCCAGGTGAAGGAGGTGATAGGCTTGGTATGGTCTAACAGATGAGTGATGTAGCCTTGTGGGGGTGGCTTGGTAATGTTGAACACTAGCAGGGATTTGGGTGTTTCACTGTCTTCAGCATCCACCGTTGTTGTTGTCATGGGGCTCAAAATAAACTGATCCACCTCCAGGATGAACATAGCCATGAAGGCAGCTCTGGGGATTTGGTTGGGAATGGCACCTTTGATTTGGACAGGGAGCCATGCATGCTCTGTCTATGAAAGGAAAAAGAGTCAGGGCAGAATATAGGTCAAGTAAGATTTTATATGAGTACTCCAATGGTATTTAAGCATACTGTATGCGTAAGGTTAAGCACATGTTCATTTACTTTGTTGATCTGAGTCCTAAAGAACTAACCCACTGGTTTTCAACCTGTTTTCTGTTGGGTTCCCCCTGCCATTTTATGGAAAGGGCAGGATAATCATGACCCCCACATGCAGAACCTATGAACTATTAAGGAGCTGCTTTGGCCCCACCCCCTAAAGCTGCAAATCATGCCAGGATTGGAGGAGGAGTTAAAAGGAAGAAAACTCCACTCAGATGGTAGGAACCTTGGGAAGGTAACAGGCTGTTGAGCTCCCCTGTTCCCAGAGAGAGGTCTGCCAGCCAATAGTGCCTCTGCTCTTGCAGAAAGGAGGACACAGACCCCCTGGGATAAGAAGTGGGAAGAGACTGAGACTTATACTGGAGACTCAGTGGACTCTGGGGCAGACTGCGATATTTCCAAGGCACTCTGAAGTGAGAGAGGTCAATATCCTCAATGAAGCTGCCTATGGGTTTCTTGCTTTTCCTTTCTGCTTTTATTTAACTTTGTTTGCTGACTGTGGATGGTTTTGTTTGTTTCACCTGCGATCCTGAGAGGGAAAGAACCAGCCAGAAGGCCTTGGCTGGAGGGTTGAGCACTGGCCCCTCTAGACTGACATGCCCCACAACTCCTGCAGGGGTGTGGGCAATTACAGCCACTTGCCTGTGCTCCCCATCTAGCTCCGGAAAGGGGTGCTCTGCCCAGGACAGATTCGTGACAGCATCTCAAAGTGGTTATGATGACATTCATTAATGCTCACTGCCCTACTGTGATGCAGGTAAGTGGTGTTATCTGCAGTGTACAAATGGGGAAACTGACTCACAAATATGTTAAAGACAAATTCTAATTTGGGGTGATTCTGTTTTTGGATGCTCAACCTGAGATTCCAAGGGCCTGATTTTCACAGGTGCTGAGCATCTGCAGCTCCTATTGACTTCAGCTGAAGTTGTGGGTCTCAGTGCCTCTGCAGATCAGTTCTCCAGTATCTTAAGCTGGGCTTCCAACATTACTGTCTACTTTTGAAAAGCTGGTCTGAAGTGATTTGGTCAGGAAGGTCACATTAGTAGCAGGCCTAAGAATAGAAGCCCTGACCTTGAGTCCTGTACTTTAACCACTATACAGGCTCTCACTATGAGGTTATTACGCAAAGTAATTCAGTTACTGATAATGATTTTTCCTATTCCTCACCATCCCACTCCTCCCCCCCTTTTTTTATACCTAGTAATTGCTTCTCTGAGTACTCAAGTTATTGGGCAGCATTTGTCCCCAGTGTAACTCCATTTACTTCAGTGGAATTATGGCAGCCATTAATTTGGCCTGTTGTCTACTCACACAAATAAAATCATGAACACGACAAAATACCAGAAACTACACAGCTGTATAAAACTCTACCTTGTGCAGCGTTTTGCTTCTGCTGTCTGTGAGGTCCAGCCTGATAGGAATATAATCAATGTTGGGTGAAGGAGGGTCAAGATGCTGATATCTAATTCCCATCAGTAAAAATTCCTCACAGCTCATTTTGGTGTTCTGAATCATCTTCAGTTCTGGATCACAGAGCCCACTTCTGCACCTTTGGCTTGTTCTGTGCTCTATAATCCAATAGAAGCTGTAGTAAAATATTTGTTTAAACAATAAACTTGATAAACAGTACAGGAACGCTCAGCTAAAAGTGCCGTAAAAGGGCAATGTGATATAGCATAGGACTCCTCCCCTCCCCTCCCCTCCCCCCCAAATAACAATTGTGTTGGGTTGACTGACATTTTCCAGCTCCAACTTCACTTTCTTTGTTGTGTTTCTGGTCACATTAGTCTTTCATTCTGGCTCAGATATTAATCCAACAATACTATGCCCAAAGCCTAGAAGCTTTATGGTAGATCTTCAAAGACATAGCCAATCCTGGAGGACTGAGCACCCTTAACTTCCATTTTATCCCTAATATCCTCCTGCTCTCTCTGATTCTTATTGCATCACCACATCCATTTTAAGTAACAGATCTTAGCAATGCATATGAAGGAAACTATTGTGGCAGGTATTCTGTCCACTCTCTTTGCAAATGTTGTTAATACAAACAATTAAAGCATATCATACTGGATCTAGGGAAGAAGCTATGAGGTTGATCTCCACGAGGCTCTTCTTGCTGAGGTTCTCCAATGACAAGTTGACCATGGGCTGGTAGAAGAGTTTCTAAAGAAGCCAGTTTGATGGTGCACTCCAGGTTTGTCTTCTTGTCATAGTCAAAAGTGAGCACATTCTTGTCAATCTCCCTGGACAGGCCATAAAACTCAGGGACCTCCAGCACATTGGTGCTCATTTTGATGATATTACAATCTGGCTCAAGTAATTGCACTTGAAGGATGAACATTTCTGTGAATGTTTCAGTTTCTGTAAATCTGTCGAGGATAAAAAATAATTAGTAATATGCCATTCCAACTTCCCTCCATTGCCTGTGAACTCAGCATTATCCTCAACTCTGAAATTCCCCATTTCTGCACATCTCCTTGTCACCACATAACTAGGTGGTCAAGTTTTATGACCCTGATAGAGATGCAGGGCTTTTCTCTTGACTCACCGTGGTATTGAGGGCTCTGGCTTGGAGGTGCAGAGTTATTTCCATGGACTCATCCCAAACCAGGTTGTTCTTATTTGTTTGAATCCAGGATAATAAAGGATTTGATTGTCTTATAAGGCATCTTGAATTTAGGGCCAGGACAAAGGTGTCTCAGGAAACAACAGTGGGAACAACCAAGCTCAGGGAATTTTATGGCTGCTGTCATAAAATTTTATGGCTGCTGTAGGTGAGCTATAAAGGTGTTGTTAGAAATACATGAGTGAGTTTGCACCCTATCCATTGTATGTGCACTATGCTAGAAAACACAGGTTACCTACTTACATGCCATCTCCATGACATTGCCAGGGTATGCCACTTCTTCAGATTTACCACAGCTGAAACTTATAAGTGCCTTCTCACCTTGATTATTTTGACTCCCTTCTCTGAGGCATCTCCAAATCTTAGATCTCCAGACTCCAGAAGGTGAAGAATATTGCAGCCTACTTTTTCACATGTATAAAAAATGTGATCACATTACCCTCACTGAGAGACTCCACTGACTCCCTATTCATTTCAGGATCCAGTTCAAAATTCCCCACGAACTTGTTCTACTTATCTCATGAACCTGATTTCTCTCTCTCTTCCCCACTCCTACACCACTATTCCAGTTTCCTCCTCTTCCAATAGTGGCTTCTGCTCTGTTTCTTCACATATCCTTGCTATTGCTGATCCACAAATCTTCTTTGTAGCTCTTGCCATCTGGCTGTGCCTTCCTGTACCTCCTCTCTACATGCTAATGAGATCAATTAGAAACCCTGTATCATCATCTCATTGATCTGTCTTCCTCTAAGATGCCTATATTGAACCCTGACATACTACAGATTCCATCAAGGGAAACATTGTATCCCCCCATTCTTGGCACTTTAATCCACTCCAACTCCTATATGCCATTCCTTTGGTGCATGGACAAGAAGGATTGTCCAATGATTAGGGGACTAGGGTCTTGGAAAGTTCTGTTGTGCTGCAGACTTCCTGTGTGACCTTTGGAAAGTCACTTAGCCTCTCTGCCTCAGTTCTCCATTTGTCAAATGGGGTTAATAGTATTGTGCTATCTCATAGTGATGTTGTGAGGATAAATATATTAAAAACTTATGTTGCCCCAATTACCATCATATCACAAAGGGGCTGCTCTAATTTATACCAGAGATTATTTCAGGCCCTGATACAGCAGAATCCAGTGGGCATAAACTTTCAAGACAATATGTTTTTATTTCCCATCCAGGAAAATGATATCTAAAGAGGGATCATGAGAATTATTTATGGCCTGATTGTCATTTCCTCGCTTACGTTGAATAGTATCTTACTCCACAAGAAATCCCATTGACGTCAAAGGGATTACTTGTGGAGGAAAGCACTGCTCAGTGGGAGTAAAGGTAACAGAATCTGACCCTTAATGTCTGTGCAGCACTTTGAGAATGTGATGCACTTTGTAAGTGCTGTTGTCAGTATTAACAGTAACAGGAAGAATCCGTCAGTTTCTGTAGTATACAAATAAACCAATGTTTAGTAATGTCAACAAATATGTTATCAGAGTGTTTCTCATATATATTTTGACAGATAATACTATAAATAGATCACAGCATGGGTTATTGGTTAATGATGCCTTCCGGTGTACATAAGTAGTTACTGCAGATATGAATGGAAGAATTTTTATTTGCCTGAAAAATTGACTGCTTTTTCTTCATGAAAAACAGTTGTTTTTACTGGTGATAATAATACATAATGCTTCAGTGCTGCTTACCTGTACAGCCTAAGCATGACCATGTCTTCATCTAAAATTGGACAGCCATTATGAGTATACTTGATTTCATTCGGAAGGAAATGACAGTCAAATACCTATTGGGATGGAAAGAATAGATAAGTAAATGCTGTCAAGAATGTCAGGTTCCAGCATTTCCTTCTTCTGTTCTCTGATTGTCAGAGAAGTGTTCTTAGAACAAAGCGCACTTTTTAATCCATATTTTGTTTCTACAAAACAGAAGTCAGACTTTTGTTGTTCAGTGTGTGACAGACTATCCACATCCTGAACCAACTTCACTGAATAAAAATTAAACTTCACTGAATTAAGTTGACCATCTTTGCAGGTCATTGTATTAGAAATGCAAAGGTTTATGCACCATTATGAGATGTATGGAACTTTATCAGGAAGACAAGATTAATGCAATCTCTGGAAGGTATTAGGAACATCCAGGGTCTTTTTTTGGAACAATAAGTGTGAAGTGGATTTCCTAGGAAATATCTTTGGGTGAGGGGAATGCAAATTCTCCCCTTCATAGCCAACCTTTCAAAGATACTCATTGTGTAGGAGCTACCTGTTCTCAAAGACCCCCAAACCATATAAAGTGTGAGTTAAACATGTTGTGAGCATAATGCATTTGAGCTGAAACTATGATGAACTGCTAATCCCAAGAACTCCCCTTGGGTGGAAGGTTGGAGGACTGCTCCTGCCAGAATCCATGTAAGGGTTGGGGTTAATTCTGCTAAGCTCATTAGCATGCATTTTGGCTCATTTATTATTTTTAATATGTTTTCTCTGTAATTTTTTAGTAATGTCAACAAATATGTTATCGGAATGTTTTTTGTATATATTAGCTTAAGAATGAAGTAGGCTTGCATAGGAAGTACTGTGTGGTTCTTTATAACTGTAGCAATTACATCTGTTAACCATTTCTGAAGGAAAAACAAGCAGGTGTCCTTGGGCAACCTGTCTGTGCTGGGAAATACACACTGAAGGCAGGGAACTGTGCAGCCTGGAAATACGCCAGTCAGAAAGGAGAGACACATGACTCCACCCAGAAAGGCAATGGCTGGGGAGCCGGAAGCCTGAGAGCGGGTACCCTGGCTGGACTACTAGAGGAAATGCAGGTGCAGTTGCCCTGAACTGTAGTACAGAGTTAGCAAAAGAAGCAGAGAAATACTGGGCACCAAGGGGCGACTGGTATTCTACAATTTTAAAAAGAATAACTACATGTTAGTTTCAGTCAGAGCAGCACGCACTTAAATTCCATTGACGGGACTTGCTTGAGTGGTTTGCAGAATAATGATGGATTCGCACACATACTCAAATGCTTTGCTGAATTAATGCCTGATGTGAAGACAAAGATGCATGTCATCAGTGTATCTATCACAGGAGGCAACTTTCCCCTAAAAGTATTGGGCCTTCCATAATCAAAAGCAGCAGCTCTTCAGCATTCAGCAATAGGTCAACCCTTTGGTAATAGGACAGTCATTAACTAATGCTGGATGAAAATACTGCCTTTTGTTTCTTTCAGTAAATTCCACAAAACTAGAATTTACATTTCTTTTATATTATGAAAGTATTTACATTGCAACAGCTTGTCAATGTTTAAAAATATAATGTGAATTTCTGTTGCATGTTGTTCTTACTGACTTGAAACCAGATGGTAACTGTCATTTGTTTCTGGGGTCTTCAAATATATCCCCTGACTTCAATTTTCATAGATAAGTGCACAGCGGAGAATAATATTTTAGGGTTAGTTTGTTCTCCAAGAAGATACAGCTGGGTTAAGATAAACTTAACTAGCTACAGTATCCTGGAAATAATCAAACCAGATTCATTGTTGCAACAAATGTTCTATCTTTTACTTCTGTGGAAGCAGCCTGTGCGAAATGTGCTGGCTACGCTACTGTTTGAATCTCTTATTCTTTTGAATCTCTCTTCTATGTCTAAGAAAAACTAAGCAACTCCTAAAAGTGTGCCTTGTGATTTTTCAGTACGTAACCTAACAGTGAACAACTTTATCAGCCTTAACCTGCCTTTCTCTTTCCTTTTTAGTGATGACTTTGGTTAACATACTAACATTAATCAAAGTGTTGTGAAATACATGTTCTCTATTATAGAGTGGAATGATATTTAAATATTATTTTAATTAGTAAACTAGAAAGTGTTAATTGAAGTTCTCAAATCATGATGTTAAGAAAGAATACTCAGCTGAAGTTAGGACCATTTGCCTAAACAACAAATATGCACAGTGTATAATTTTAAAAAACCCTTCCTGCATGCTAGCTCTCCACAGTTCAATGTTGTACGTTAAGGGTCAGCTTCTCAGCTGATGTAAATCAATGTAGCTCCTTCAAAATCCATGGCATTACACTGATCAACACAGGTTGAGTATCTGGCCTCAGAGTCTGAGAACGCAGTTTTCATCATGCATCTTTGGTTTTAGGCTGTGTGATCCACCAGAGGATAAGGTTTAGCTTATGAATAAACATTTTTACAAGACATCATTAGTTCTTGTTCTTAACTGATAACAAGGGAGAATTTAAAAAAAAATGAAGGACCTTTCTACACAAGCCTCCTACCATTGATAGATAGTGATTATAAAATAAAGACACAATCTGCTTTGTTAAAAGAAACATCTGTTTTATGTTTCCTAATATGTTTTCCTTTTATACAAACAGGCAACTGTAATTGTCTATAAATTTCCTAAGTAAAACAAAGGAGAGCTAAATCTTTTCCTAATTACTGTCTAGCTTTATTTTTTCCACTTCAACTGCTTTTCAATTACAATTTATAATTAAATTGTCAAACATTCCTAGCACATTATTCACTTAAATGACAATAAACCATATCAGACTAGAGACAGTTTCTGACTGCAGCATTTCCTGGTTGACAGAGGATGCTCAGCGCCAACCATGGGCTAGCTTAATATCTTTACTCAGGTTAGGTTAACACTTTAGGCCAGTGCCTAGGACTCTGCCTTCCAAAGTCATGTGATTAGATTTTAAAAGTTTCTAGCCCTAATAGTTGCAAATAATAGATTGAAAACATGAGCTGAGTGGAAGTGTTGCAGTGACATCTGCCTGAGTCTTCAGACAGCCTCCAGCAAAAGGAAGAGCAGCAGAGACTAGAGTCAAGGATTAAGCGATGTGGCTCCAAACCCAACAGCAAAGAAGAGCAGGCCCCTTCACACTAGCCTAGACCCAGGAGGCCCTGTTGGTGGTGCTGCTACTACCCCAGAGTGCCACCCTGCTGCTTGTTGATAAGGAGGGCCACCTTCACCAGTTCAAGAGGGTGCCCTCCCAGCTCCTCTGGATGCTGGGGGATTGGAGAGGAAGGCTCCTTGCTTTGGTTGTTGCCTCCTCCAAGTACAACAAGGTAGAACAGGGGCCCCTGCCACCTCCCTATAACAGAAGGTCTTATGAGAGGGCCCTGGCCACTGAAGGAAGAGGAAGAGGTGAGGGTGAGAAGACAGCTTCTGGCTCTGTTTTCCAGGTGTCCAAGAAGTAAGGTTGTGGTGAATCCACATTCCCAGTGCTCCTGGAGACGCGGTTCCAATCTAGTGCTTGGCACAGCTCAGGGTAGGAATGCAGCTCAGCTGCCTGTTTCTCAAGGAGCCACTTCAGCCCTGGGGGATTCACTAGGGCATAGAGAAGTCCTGGCCACTCCCCTCTTTTCTCCTACACATGCCCCCAGCATCAGAGGGTCCAAAAGGAGGGGCATGTAGAAGCTAATTCAGGGTCTCTGAACCACACAGGGATTTTCCCGCACTGGGGGAATCCTCCCTGAGCAGTTAAACCAGTTCTACAACTCCTTAGAGTCACCCGAGTGGCACAAAGAAGCTGTAATGGAAACAGCACGTACTAATACCCCAGCACCACTACTCCAGCCTTCTTCCTTTGCCCTTACAGTCTGCACATGCACAGGCTCTTGGAGGCAAAATGTAACTCTCAAATCAGTTTAGATAAGCAACTCTGGTGTGAAAAAATTGTTATCCAGCCCACAGATACTTCAAGAAAGAGATTTACTCTGGGTAGTTTGATACTTCTGCTTGCAAAACGAGAAAGCAAGGAGAAGATTATACATATATTAGACTGCATATATTAAAGTTAACCCTACCTTTTCAAATCTTGGGGGGAAATAAGGTTTGATTATGGTTTGTTTTGCGTCTATTCATCTTTTATCAGTGCCAGTTTGTCCAGGCTTATTACTACCAATAGCTTCTTTCTAATAAACTCAGATGATGGAATTTACCAGAAAGATTAGATGAAAGGTGTACATGAAGTACACTTTGATGTTGCTACATATTAGACATTTAAAGAGAAAACAAAATCCTTTTATATATTTCCCATCTGTTAGTAATCTGGTCGTTGAGAAGCAGAACAAATAACACTATATGCAATGTGCTTAATGTATGTGATGATTACCTTTTAATTGCTCCCAATGTAGTGACTGCGTGACTAAAATGTAAAGAGTTTTAGCCTTCTATGCATTGCCCTAAGGACACTGGTTACCCTCACTAAACACAAACAAGCAGCTGGTAGACTATACACTGGCTCCTAACAGAAAGTTTTGAAAGAGCTGCTGATTTAGTTCATCACAGTGGAAACCAGATACTGGTCACCTCCACCTTCATGTGCAGGTGTTACTGTATTCATGAACAAAATGTTTTCAGCACTAGGGATATAATTCTCATCCAACCAGCTATTTTTAATAAAAAATTAAATCTCACTCACAAAGGCAGTGTATTACTATGCCTGTTAATTACTATCCCACCCTTTCAGATGACTGTTCCTTACAATAAAAGTATTTCACGTCCTTTAAGACACACATGCATACATACACTACCAAAGACAACAGTGCAGTAAAATTCTGATCCCACATACCTGTGGAGTTAGTTTCCCAACCCTCTGTGTTATTGGCTCATTAATCACAACTTCCACTTTGCAAGCATCTTTCTCTCTGGGGATGGAAAACTGCAGGTCA